GGTACCATTTTTAGTAACATTGCATGAGTTCCTTGTTTTTCAATGCAGCATAGTATTCCATTGTGTGAATATACCACCGCTTCTCTATCCATTCGTTTGTTGATGGGCACTTAGGCTGCTTCCAACTCCTTGCTATTGTGAACAAAGCCACGATAAACATGGGTGTGCATATATCTGCTTGGGTGGCAGTTATGGTCTCTTCAGGGTATATTCCCAGTAGTGGAATTGCTGGGTCAAATGGTATTTCTATTCGCAACTTTTTGAGAAAGCGCCACACTGCCTTCCACGGTGGTTGTACCATTTTACACTCCCACCAACAGTTAATAAGGGTTCCAGTTTCTCCACAACCTCGCCAGCATTTGTTGCTTGCTGTTCTGTTAGATTTTGCTATTCTGACTGGGGTGAGAGGATATCTCATAGTAGTTTTGAAGCTTAGTATGTTGAGGTTTAAAATGATGACTGCTGTTGCCTTCAGTCCAGTGGGCAGGGAGAGGGCACGCTGCCCAAATGGATAATATGGTCTCTGGCCTGGGAGACTGGTTCTGGAAAGTCACTGAGTTCTGTGAACTCTGTTTAGAGAGTTTGCTCAGCCGCACTAGTGTCCTCACTTCTTCTCCAGCCTGGCCCTTGGGTTTTCCCTTTCTCACTGCTGGGCTTCCTTCTCAGCCTCGCACATTGTGCTGAGCCAGTGGGCATCTTTGTGGAGGGTCTGCACTGTGTGTGGCACAGAGAAGCTCCAAGCACATGGGCAGTGAGAAAGTGGGCGAGGAGGTACAGGTTCTGGCATGAACCCACTAGCCAGAGTCAGAGCTGTCAGGATAAGAACATCTAGCCCAAACAAAAAGCCAAACCTTTCTGCTAAACTCACACAGCAACCTGGTGTCACAGAGAACACATCTTGTGCATTACCCTCAACTGTTCCACTGGGTTTATGTGGCCAGAATCGTTACCAGTGCAAATGGTTTGCCAACCCGGGACCAACCACTGCTCTCATGGACTTCTAATGCAATCTTCAGCAGGCAGGGTCCTGAGCTGGGAGCAGGCTGACTCACCGCTCCCAATGCCCAGATGCAGGCAGGTCTGTGTGAAAGTGGGGGAGAGGCATGAAGGGATAACACCTGTGGCCCAGGCAGCTGGGTCCTAGGAGAGGAAATTTCCTTCAACCTGTATTTATTTTCCAAGTCCTTGACTCTGAAAGCTGGGCTAATGTTGCTATTTACCTTGGCTGGGATGCCCCACCTCCTGCCAGCTTAGGGTAAACAAGCTGTTCCTTCTCTCTGCACTACTAGTATCTAGGTGGCCTTTTGCAACCAATTCTAGGAATTTTACAAATCTGAAGGCATATGCTCAAGGGCCTGGCAGGCACCCTAGGGCTGGCCGTCCTGGCCTTAGGACAGCCTCGGCAGATCTTATTCAAAAGGCGGTAGGCCATGTGCAAGATGTGTGTGTCCTATCCCTATCCTGGACCATGCAGGGGAAGTGAATGGTGGAGGTCAGAAAGGCCTGGGGCCAACCAGTTCCCATCCCAGATAGAGCAGTGCCATCTGAGAGATCTGAACTTCCTAGAGGATAATTGAGGGTGTCTACCTTTAGCCGACATCAGTCCAGGCATGGGTGGAACCAGTATGGAAGGTCACAGGAACAGCAAATCACTCTTTAGTGGGAGCTGTGGGGGCCTGGCAGGCTCACTGACCATTTCCCCTTGTCCATGCAGATCTGGGACATGAGTGACGACGAGACTGTCTGAACAGCTGGTGGCACAGATCCTCGTCAGATTCCTCCACATTCTCGGAGCAGCTGCGACCCCAGCCTCCTGTCCACCCACCTGCCCAGCTATTTCTCAAGAACTCACCTTCCACCACTTCAGAGCTCAATAATAAGCCCACGCGGGCACTGCCACCGTGCAGAGAAATTAGTTCCCTCTGTGAACATGTCTCTTTATCTTGGCTGCACCAATTGTTTGCTAGCAAACTCTTGAGGCCTTCCTACAGTGGCCGCAGGTGGGGTGGGGGTAGGACAGGAAAGCAGCCCCTTCCCAGCATTGCAGGGGTCTCCGTGAGCTGAGCTGGGCACATCAGCCCCCGCCCCCCCCGCCCCCCCCAATGAGCCAGACTGCCATGGAGGGCTGAGCTCAGCCATACTCCTTGCTATCCCCTCTGACCCTGTGGTGGGCACTGAGACAAATTTCCAAAATCGCCACCAGAACTCTCCCTCCCTCATCCAGGGTCCTCCAGGGGTGACGGGGCCCAATCAAGGCTGGGTTCACCAGGGTCCCCTCTTCACCCATGACACCCATAAGGCTGAGAGCTATCCTCCATGTGTCTCATCCTCCTCCAGCTATAGGCCTGGAACCAGTAATAATCTAGTCAGGGGCTGGCTCTCAACGTAGGCCTGCCTGCTGCCAGGCAGACTAAAAATGCCACTTCTCTGATGTAGAAAATCAAAATTGATGGGGCAGCTCTGTAGACCCTGGCCTGCCCACCCCTGAAGAAAACACACACACACCAGCTGTGGTTTAAGAGCACTTTATTATTGTTCTTAAGGCTACTTTTAAGTACAAAAAAAAGATGGCCTGCCAAACCTTTTTTTTTTTTGTTTGTTTGTTTCTTCTTCCAGGAAAAACAGGCCGTAGAGAATGTATATTACAGATTTACAAACTCAGAGAAATGGCCAGGCGCACAGCACAAGTGGCCTTGAGCTCGCTCTTGGGCAAGGAGCTGGTTTCTTCCCCCAAACTGGGGTTTCTGCTCCCGTCAGGGTCCTGCCTATTCCAGACAGGTCAGCACCCCGGCCAGTCCCCCCCAGAGCAGCCACCGGTGTGCAGGCAGAGGTGCCTCTGCATAGCCTGGCTGGGGGAGTCATTTTCCTGTGACGACGCTCAGTAGCCTGGAGCAGTAACAAACTAGTGGCTATTAATGCAGATGCAGTGTTCTCATAGAATAACTGTGTTCCTGCACTTTTACAGATAAATCTACAACAAAAAAAAAGATCAACTTTTTTTTTCCAAATGAACCAAAAAAAAAAAAAAGGAAAAAAAAATGACTACAACAGGATAGGGGGGAAATTAAATAGCTACATATCATTAACAAATTAATTGTTCTTCAAAAAATACCTACAAATTTCTCTGTACATTCTTTACGCACAGCGTAACGATGGTCTTAAAGTTACCTATATAAAAAGTGTTCTCAACAATTTCTCCTATAGAAAATAGGGGCTTGGACGCTGAAGCTGGAAGCCCAGTAAAACAGGAGTGAAATGCGTGTGGGGGAAGGGGACCCACAGCTCCCTCTGGCTGCACCAGGATAGGCTCCGTCCTTCCACAAGGGGCCAGTTTCCCCTCCTGCTGAAAACCAGCCTCAAGAGGCTGCCATGTCCCTCACGCATCACAGGGGGCCGCCCCCATGGCCCTGGTCAGGTGGTGGACAGAAGCCCCCCCCCTAGGCGAGGCTGGAATGTGCAGTCCTGGAGAGGCAAGGGGACAAATGGTCACTGAACAGAAACACAAGAAGCTGGGACAGCTGTCTATTGTGTTTTCTTTTTCACCTAACTTGTGGTTAGTAGCCATTAACATAGCAAAAAAATAGTAAATGTAGGAAGGAATAACTGTATAAATCAGGAATGTATACTGCCCTGGCCCCAGCTTCCAAGGAAGTGTACAAAATACCTTATCACAGATTGTCAGCAATCCGCTGGTCAGCTAAGAGTGGACAGGGGGGACATTGGAAGACACAAACCATAACCCCTCGGGAGCTTTGCAATAAGCAAATGGGGTACAAAAGTAAATGACACAGCCACCACCAAAACCCCAGCATCCTCCATGGTAGCCAACCGACCGCTCACCCCAGGGATTGTCAGCAGCCAGCTGTCCCCAGCACAACTTGTGAGTAAAGTGAGTATCAAATACAAATCTTAGAGTACAACTGTACCAGCAGTAAGTATATCTAGGACTGTAACTGAGAAAAATAAACTAGTTCTGGAAAAAAGCTATTAAGGATTAAGAATCTGTTTACCATCTATACATTAATAGAAACCAGCTATTTTTCTCCATTAAAACATGCAATCAGTATGTTTAAAGCAGTACGGAATCCTCTTACCTTAGCGTTAGTCTAACAAACTGTTTAGGAAAGAGATAAAATGCCCGTGATTGGTAGTCTGCAGTCCCCTTGCAAGCACCTGAAATCTAGAGAAAGACCTATAACCTGTATGAGACTTCCCCTTCCAAAGCTGATTTGTCTAAATTTAAAAAACAACAACAACAACAGCAAAAACCCAACAAGCAAAACAAAAACCCCATATATGGTCAGAAACGTCATTCTTGAACCCTTTGTTTTCAGCAGTTTGCCTTCCGAGTACTAGCATCTCAAGTTGTCAGGCAGGCAACTTCAACCCTCCTCCAATAGTGCAAATCAGACACGATGCTTCTCTTCAAGTATACACACACACACACACGCAAGCACACGCAAACTGGACAGACAGCGCGATGGGAGCAACAGCATACCAGCAAGCACCCAGCCTCCAGAAGCAAATCAGCAAGCATGGTGCAGTGGCCACCGGCAGGTGGGCAGCACGACAGCAAAACACACGCATGGAGTTGGGCCCTGCTAGGGCCAGAGACTGGCTGCAGAGGTTTCTTTGGTAATTGAGGCAGGAATTCAGGACACTATGTCAGATGTTCCCACGCTGTTCCTGCTGTTGTGTGAGGGCACCCTCGTACAAAGACCAAGCAAGTAAAAAAAAACAGAGCACAACAAAAACCCACAGGGTGGTTTTTGTGAGTAAAACCCTTCCCCTCCCACCCACC